GTTCGGGAGTACTGAAAAATATTCGTCTACTGCGGAATGAAATTTAATATAATCAGGCTTTCGAACTGTCTGAATATCAACATCAGCTCTATTTTATCTACACTATATTATGGAGTTCAATACAAGTTTTAAAAGGCAAGACAAATTTGTAATTTATGAGAAGGTTTTCCAGAAATCTTCCGCAGTAGACGAATATTTTTCAGTACTCCCGAACGTCCAATGGTTGTATTGGCGAAAGTTCGCCAGTCGGGCAAAGTATACTGTATTTTCTCAGTTTGACGAAAGTCATATTGGCGTACTTATCGATTCCAATACATACGTATAGAAGAATAGATAGATGAATCTATCGATTCGAAACCTGTGGTTGCAATAAATTTCCTTTGTGAACATAAATTAGCTGAAAAAAAAAGAATAGATTAGTCCTACCAGCCTCGCCGCGATCACTTAAGTTGAGGTATTTTATTTTGCTCAGCCTCATCTGACTACTTAGCAACTTCTCCGCCCTAACCCAAGTATCCGTTCCTCCCGTCCTAAAAACAATTCATAACGCTTCATGGAATGTTAAGTGGTGGGGCACAAAAGATCGAAAATTATTCCGAACAAAATTTATGGAAAACTTAATTTCAATAACTGAAAATTGAAAAGCATTGTAAAGAAGTATTAATTTGGAATTTAAACAAAAAAAAATGATTTTAGCACTAACTATTTCGACCTAAGGCTATTGCATAGAAAAATACGCGCTTATAGGTACGTAACTTACTTGTTCATTCATTATTTTTGTATTTCTTTCTTATAATGGTCTCATTTCTAAATACAGCGGCGGAGGATCTTCCTTAAAAAGTTAGGAGCAATTTTCTATTTTTCCTAGTCAAAATCTTACAACTGAGTCAATAAAAGCCGTAGACACTTGAAATTTTCAACACTGTGAGTCCGAAATGTCGGCTGACTAGCCTGAAAATGCCAGCTCTCTAGAAACCTGTTGTCATATCGATGATCGAAGGTAAAGGAAAGTTATGGGGTTTGTCGATTATTCGTATATGCATGCAGTGGAGTGGCGTTTGTTCGAACTACTTCATATTGGAATTTCAAAACGCTGGTTGCAGGTTCGGTATCTACGCATAAAACCACCCTAGATTCAAACTAATTTGATCTCTGAAAGTCCTTTATGGCGGATATCCAACATGTCAGTTTTTTACGTCCATCCAGGACTTGTAAACGATTTTCATCCCCACTACACTATAAAGTAAGTGCCGTCCGTTTTTTCCTAGACTAATTTTTGACGTAGCTTCCAAATCCGCTGTCGGATTTCAATTTGGACGTTGTTTGTAAGGGTTATGGGACTTTGTTGATTATTCGTATATACGCATACACGTTTTTTGCTGATTTGACATATTTAAGAGTGGAATTTTGAAAAACCAGTGGCAGGTTCGGAATCCACGTATAACACTACTTTATATTTGAATGAAGTTGACTTGTAAAACTGTTATGGCAGTAGTCATCCCCGACATAAATTCGGTCCTCATCGTTTTCATTTCATTGTCATGTTATCACTCACACAAAGCTTCATCTTGTTTTTTGTTTAATTGTTGTTGACAGTAGTGTTCACCATGTTTAATTTATAAATACGTTTTTGTTCACTGTAATTTTTTCGTAGAAAGGTTTTAATTTTAAATAAAGAAAATGCCCTTCTAATGTGAGACGTCTCTACGTGGTGGAAGGAAGACAACGTATATTCTGATGGCTGTGCTCTTAGTCTGGTGGACGGCTAACCATCTCACACACAGATCAATTTTTTCAATTATGAACCTTTCACTCCGAAATCATGTGTTTTGGGGCGAAAAAACTTCTGTTTTTGCACATTATATTAAAACTCATATAACTCAAGAATCCAACGCACTGGAAATCTTAAATTTTCAGACTAGTCAGCAGTCATTTCGGGCTAGTGCTGAAAATTTCAAGTGTCCACGGCTTTTTTTACTCAGTTATAAGATGTTGACTAGGAAAAATAGAAAATTGTCCCTAACTTTTGAGGAAGATCATTCCGCCTAAATCCTTTTAGGCTTCTTACCAGCTAAATGTCCTCTGTCGAACGACCTATGAATGAAGGGGATCGGAACGTGACATCTGGAAAGGTTCCCTCGTAAGATCACTTATTTCTCAGAAGAGTAGAAGTGATCGAGCTCCGAGAATCGTGCTGTTGGTACCACTAGAAACAGGGTCATTCACCGCTCTAGCCATTCTTACACGATCTTACTCATAATACTATTGGATTTTGGACAGATCCTGTAGTCCAGAAAGAGAAATACCGTGTTTATGGATAAGATAGTGTTACTGTAAGACTTATAACGAAGTTAACATTTAGTACAGATTTTCGCCTCTTTTTCTGTGCTGCTCAGTGACCGATTGCGGCAGAACACAAGACAGTTAGAAATTGCTTGTGTGAAAGAAAAATAAATAAATAGATTAGAAAAAGCGTTTTTGCCGGATAAATGAATATCACCAAAAAAAAACTAGTCGTAGAAAATAACACGGAGAGATATGAGCATGCACAGGTGTGAAAATGTATATCTTATTCCATTGGTTATCGTGAGCTTTATTTTAATGATCCGCTCATTCCAGATTATTTTGGGCTCTTTGAGCTACCCCCATAACCACCAGATGATGACGATGAACTACTTTGTGTAGTACCACCCTGACGAGGTTGTCCGGATTGACGTGGTGTTGAGCTAGTTTGCCCTTCACTCTAGAAAGTATTCGATATATAATAAGGAAAGAATCGAATGTCAAGGACAAATATATACCATTCCGGAACTGCTACCACTGGATGATGAACCGGTGCCACCAACCGAAGCACTGTTTTGTCCACTAGATGATGATCCTTGACCACTCTAAAGCGACACATAAATGTTAAGAAGAGACAACACATAGAAAACAAAAAAGATAACTTACACCTCCGGACATGTCGCCTAATCCGCTACCACCTGCTTGACTGCCACCGCCCGATGATCTACCTGATGTTGTACCGCTTTGATCCATCTAGAGGACGTAGAAGAATAGCCAGAACTAGTAAAATATCAATCATCGGAAGCCCTTCTTGCATAGTTTGTTACCAGAGGAAGCTGGGCTGAAGTATCAAATTTTACAAAGGTTCTCATGGATCCTTTTATCTAGAGAACATTTCAGTTACTTGTTCTACCATTAAAACATCTATTAGCACCAAAAATCTGCTCATGACTAGGAGTATAATAAATCACGTAAAGTTTGATTGTTCGATATCTAAAAATAATATGTGTAACATTTTTCGGACACCCCAAGTTTTCTGGAATCCGACTACTCAGTCGCTCAGACTAAGGAAAAGTCTCATGCCAACCACAAACTACATTCTCGAAGCTATATTCGCTTATTTTATTGTCATTCGGCTACCTTTTTTATTAGCTTCATTTTGATATAATTAGCATGAGACTTTCCTCGGGCTGAGCGACCGAGTAGTCGGATTCCAGAAAACTTGGGGTGTCTGAAAAACATTACACATATTATTTTTAGATATCGAACAATGAACCTTTTACGTGATTTGTTATCATGTCTTAGCCATGAGCAAATTTTTGGTGCTAATAGGTTTTTTAATAGTAGGCATAAGTAATTGAAGTATTCTCTAGATAAAAGAACCTATGAGAATCTTTATGCCATTTGATACTTCAGCTCAGCTTCCTCTCATAACGAACTATGCAGGAAAGAATTATAAGGAAGTAACTTACACTACTAGAACTTTCAGTTGACGATCCAGTTTGTCCATCCGTACGAGACGATGACGACCCTTGATTGCCTTTACTACCTAATGATGAACCTCCCATTCCAGATTGGGATCCACCAACACCACTTCCCCCTGTCATATCTCCTGCAGATGATCCACTTTGAGTTGTGCTGTTATCTCTATTATCAGTAGATGATGGAGAGCCTTGACCACTCTAAAACATATATGGAAAAAGATCGATAATGTTTCGTAGATATCACGAACTTACGCGTCCGGAAGCAGCGGATGATGAATCACTTTGACTTCCGAGACTACCGGACATATTTGATTTCTGTGTACGGTTGATGCTATCTGCATCTTGACCACCTAAAGAAAAGAAATTTTGTATTCTTATATTTTAATACCAGATCCTTTGCCTTTTGATGTTTGATTGCTAACTAAACGTGCACCAAGAATACTAGTTGGTTGGACATGGAGTAATGACGTTGCAGTCTGTAAAAGAACCAAACAATTAGTTAGAATACCATAATCGCGCAAGTCAACAAATACTCACTCGTCTTACGATACCAAGTAATTGCAATGCACTCATGGTTGAATCACAATAATAATGACAAATAATATCTGAAATATATGAAAATGTGTGATTTATTAACGATACATACTTTCTCTACGCATAAGCTGAAGCTCTTTATTGCGTTTACTTTTTATTCACTATCTAGAAATATAAAAGCATACTTTTTTCGCTCTATTATAGCTTTGTATTGTTTTGATTCTCTTTCTATTACGATAATATTTATTAGAGAAATGAAATGACAATCGCTATCAATGTATTTATTTTGAATACGAAAAATACATGCGCAGATGAATAAACATCTCGTTTATGAAAGATTACTATCCCCGTTACTGTCTCACGACGATGAGCCTTGACCCGTGTTTGATACACCTAAAAAGCGGAGAAAACAGTTGCAGGACAAACTAAATGAAATAGTTTTAGTACCTGAGTTGCCACCTCAGTGTTCACTATTACCACCTGAAGCATTATCCGATTAGCCATCTGTTGTGCCTAAAGAAAGGAAGATATAGTCGAAATGGATGGATTTTAGACAGGTTAATTAAATACAAAGATATTAGAGAGATTGATGAAGGAAAGATTAATAGCTTGAACAAAACAAAATAGAAATTATCGCCATTTTTACCATTTATGCTACCGTTATCAATTCAACAATGTCTCGCTAAAGGAGATCAGATATACTTCATGATCAGAGTCGATTTTTTTTAAGGATTCATGCTTAGCTTTCTCAATTGACCCAGTTTGTCGGATTTTCGATCCATGTTGGCCGCTCAATGATGATGATTGACCAGATCTATCACCGGTTGAACCCGAAGACATGATGAAGGTTATAAAATAATGCTTTCAAATGAGTCAATGTGAATATATTCAATAGCCTAGTTTTTTACGAGTTATGAGGCATAGTTTATTTAGTACAAGAATAGTACAGATGAGAAAATGTGAATGAAAATATATCCTATTCTTTCTCTTCGTTTTGTGATCTCTCTCTCTTTCTCTTCACTATTTTGTAAGAATGAGGCAAAGAGCGGACAGAACAGTAGTAATACCTTCGTTTTCACGTGAGAAACGTGACACATGTACCTACAAGTCATCAGACAAAAAGATTGTAACGTGATGTACAACCACGTGGCAATCAAACCCGTTTCATCTAACCTACACCAGTAAAAACGCCGAAGTAGCTTAAAAGAACGCTAGAGTATACAGTGTTAACAAACGAATAATTGATCAGAACAGCTGGACATTTATTCAATGAATTAGAAATCTGGAGGCATTGAGTTCAGAAGTGCAGTAGTTAACTTTTTATAATTTGAAGTATGAGAACACGTCGTGGATAATATGCCGCTTCAGTGTCAACATGAACAGCTATTTACTGCAGATACGATGTAAAACACAGTTGATGGTACCTTACTGTAATCCTCAATTACTAATGGCATGACCATACATAAAACCTTGAAAAAAGAACTAAGGGTACCCCCCCCCCTCTTTTTTTACCCTGTCGGAAACTATGGAAGCCGATGTTGGATCGGGTTCTAATTTATACCAGAGATAGTATCTGTGGTCAAATTTTGAGCTCGATCGGATCATTTTTTCGAGGGGTCGGAACGTATGCCAATTGAAGGGACTATTGAAAAAACGGGTAAAAAGCCTCTCTGCCAATTCCCTTTTCTCCCACCGACTGAAGTTTTTTGCCAATTTATAAAATGTCACATGATTTTCTGCCAACTGGCAAAAAATTTTTATAATTAGCCGAGTGTCAGAAGTGGTTCTGACAGAACGTCATTGGCAGAGCGACAGAGATCCGAAAAAACGCATAGTGAGAAAAACACGTACTGTACATAGGGCTCTGTTTTTCAGAGCATTTGCGTCCGTGCTTATATCTGTAAGAAAACTCATCGGAAAATTTTGGAATATATCCCATTTTGAAGAGCACACTTTCTTCGATCATGCTTTATATAAGAAAAAATTTTAAATATATAGGAAAGGAGAGAAAAATTTACGAGTCAAAAAAGTTGAGATTTTCTAGGCGATTAGTTTTTAGTCGCTTCCCATGTACTAAAAATCGCATAAAAATCGGCAATAATCATGAAAAATCATACGATTAATCGTGCGCTTAATCGCAATTAATTGACGATTTTTTTCTAGATACTAGATTCGAACCCATCTTAGGAAATACATTTTTTTTTCTGTTTTTTCATTGTTTATTACTTATAATGACATGTGCATCACACAGCAATGGTCTTGGCACCAGCTGGCGTCGGAGTCTTGCCGACGAATCAGCTTTAAACATTGCCCACATACCAGCTGTTCAATGGGCTTCTCGGTTTAAAGCCCTGAGGAACAATAGAGAATACTCTTGACAACTCCGTTGTATTCTAAAATAAAAAGATGATCTGAATATAAGTGTATTTTTCGCTGAAATCGTGTTTCTTATATACAAACTTTTTATTGCAAGAGAAAACGGTGAATAACAACCACCATTTAATCACTTAAAATCAACAATTAATCGCAATTAATTGATGATTTTTGTGATTAATCGCGATTGAGCGTCGATTTTTTCAACCATCGTGATTAATCGACAAAAATGAAGCGATTTTCAGCACATGGGTTTGGAAAGACGCCCATTGTATCTTGTCATAATTTCCATTCAGCTTCAGATCTGTTGTACTAATAGCTGTTATTGCGGGTGATTGCAATAAGCGGTTGGTTTTATCCTGGTTTACATTGAATATTATTTTCGTTAATTTTTTGTCATCGATATCATGTTCCATCGTCTTTTCATTCGCATATATTTTCACGCGAAGAATATCAAGCCCGCAAAGTGGATATCGATTAAAATTATGCGCATTTTTACATCCACGACAATTCCATAGCCACTAAAAAACCAATCGTTAGTTAGTTCCTTGTCGTTTATTATTTGTGGTGTAATATAGAAGAAATTGTTAACAATTTTGTGTGTCTACTGATGTAAACCCGACCACGATTTTAAATTATCAATCCCTCAATCAAATTTTTACTTATATTAATTTCATCGTCGTTGGTTTCTCCCAATAAAAGAATACTGAAGCATCTAAATAGCTGTTCGATACCTTCAAATTCGGATAAATCTCTTGAAATTCCTTTTATAACCTTAAAAATTCCATTATTTTCATCTTCGTCATGTGCCTTAAATAGTGAGTTCACGGGATATTAGACTCCAATGTCATCGATAAATATAGTTATACATAAGCATCTGCTTAATCCTATTGTACTAATGTAATTAAATGAAATATCGTGTTCACCTTCTATGATATTGTCAGTGTTGTTCTGTGCGCATGCTATGATTCGACTATCAGGTTCAAAAGCAAACACCGAGTCGATTTCCATATCTAGGATCATAAAATAGAGTTCATGTAAGGTGCCCCAGATTTAAAGAACGAGTACCTTTTCTTTTTTCTCAAACATTTATATACGGTTTGATAGAGCTCACCGAGCTGAACTAGAATATATGTGTTTTGACCTTATAAAGTGTTTATATAAAGAGAAATTTTCGAAAAACCGGAAATTTGGCTATGGTGCAAAAATCGCTACTTTTGCAATTAAATTGATTTTTCGAACTCCCCTTATGTTTTGTAACTTTGTAATTTTTACTACTGAGAAAAAGTATGTATCAGAAAATATCCTTCCTTTGTTTACAAAATTAATTTTTTTGAAACGGGCAGCAACATCAATCCAGCTTTTGATGCTGATTCCAAATATGACATGGTCTTTACAGAAAAATGGAAGTTTGACTTGAGTTTTTTTGAGTCTAAGTGAAACCTACTAAATAGAGAAGAATTTTCTTGTTTTTTGCTACGTGTTTGGAAAATATTAATTTTCTAAACGACAGAACAATATTTTCCAAAACCGATATGTCCTTTTTTTCCAGTAGTATGACAGTTTGAATGAGGTACGAACTGTGGTTCTATCTTTACGTTCCCCTAAATCTACAATCAAAATTGCAGAAAGAGATGAGATGCAACAATAAAAGAATACAGATGCGTATGACTGGCGGAGGAATTTAAACTATATAGGGAGGAAAAGTTGATCTGTGTAGAAAGAATGCTTCAGACAGTTGGGTATTAAGCTTTAGCAATTATTATTAAAATCATTTAGAAACACACATTAGACTGTACTATAAATCAACAACGAGATAAATAATTGCAAGAGAACAATATCGTCTACATCGTTTGTCATCGATGCTACGCAAAAACTTTACATAGTCACTACATTTGTTGAGTAAGAAGATAAAAATTGTTTTTTGCACAAGAAATGGTAAGATCTTGGGACATTCTTGCCTCAGGATCTTGCTATTTCTTGGGTCCAAGAATTTTCCCTAGGGAATGTATTTCTTGCTTACAAGTAGGGATGTTCGGTTCTCGTTAAGCGCCGGAACCGTGCTATCGGTTCTAACAATGGAACCGGAACCGCGGTTCTCTTGTTTTCGATTCTTCGTCGGAAACCGGAACCGCGGTTTTGTACACGGTTCCTTTTTTTCAGAACCGAGACTTTTGTAACCATAGATATTACAGTTTTATTTCGAGAAAGGTATATTTAGAGTTTATAAGGTATACTTGTGCGCAACTTCTTTTACATGAGATCTTTTATACCTGGAGAATCCACCGACTCATCTTAGATAAGAGATAAGCCAATATTATTATGTCCAGAGGCACAAATAGCGGGAGGGTGCGCATCTCTCGAATAATTGTTAAAGCTGTTGTTATTTTATCCATTACTCTTCGCACAAATTGTTTTTTATCAATTTCACACTATCTCAGAGAAATTTTGGTTTACACCCCCCCTAATGTTCGGCTCCTATTTGCGGCCCTGATTATGTCGTTATACTAGCCATAACTTCTGGTCTTGAAACTGTTAAGATCAGACGACAGAAAAGTACAGCATTGAAAGAAAAAGAACTAGTGTGAACGGACCATCAAATTTGTACTTCTTTATGAAGTGCAAAAAGGACGAAACAATAATTCATTCTTTTCTCTTCTCACTTA